AAATTCTGGAATTATCTAGGCTTAATTCTTAAAATTTTTTTTAGACCACATAAGGTACACTGGTGAACATCTACCGGACCCTGAATCATCGCCGGAAAATAACAATCTGACAGGCAAACTGTTGCACCGCTGAGTCTTTGAAACTCCAATTTGAACATATTTCCATCGAAGATCCTATAATGTTACATTTGGATATTGCCATTGGTAGCTAGAAAAAACTACAGAACAATGTTGCTTCAGAGAAGCATTAGCGATGTTTCATCGATGAATCAGCGCTGGGAAGCACCTTAAACAACTTCGGAAAACATTATGGCACTTTTGAAACATAGATTTTCTCCAATCGTTTATCAAAAATGGTTATTTGAAATTTTCAAGTTTTGCCCATTCGAATTACTCGCTGTATATCCAATTAACAAAATGCGTTTTGAGGAAAAGTATGTGATAAGTTAATTGGTTATAGCAGGAGATTTCTTATATATATACGAATGCAATATTAATTTCAGAAAAAAAAACAATGCATGAGATGATCCTTGTCTTAAAAACAGATCATTGTTGGAATCAACAACTTTCGAGGTCAATTTTTATTTGCTTGTTTGTTTCAAGATCGATCAAAATCTGTTCACCTGTGTTTAAAAGAAATATTATAAATTACATTGAAATTATAATCTAGTAATCCTTCAAAAAATATAAACCTAATAATTTTTCAAAAGTTTCGATATATTTTATGGTCATCATGATTGTTCAAAGTTCAAATCTTTTTCTATTCCTTGTACTATTTATATGCATTCGCCGAAATTGTAACGGGGAAATTGCTCCTAACTCTAAGCTTCCAAGAAAAGAACCTATAGTTTCAAATATAATCAATGGACTGCCGGCTGTTGACAGACCTTTTTACGTGGAAATTCATGACTCAGTAACGAATGATTTCATCTGTGGAGGAACAATTATACAGCAATATTTTATCATCACGGCTGCCCGTTGTATATCAAGTTAGCCCATTTACTTTTTCTTAATCGATTTTTGTGCGCAAAAATCTTCAAGCGGCGTGGTTTGACGAACTTTTCAGGATGATAAATTTGAGTTTTTGATCTCCCCTAAAAGCCTATAAAGACCTAAGACGAGCGGGGGAGGGGTGCGGATTTGTCAAAAAAATATATTTCGGGAATTTTTGTCTTTGTTAGATCGATCAATGTTATTTTCCGAGCGCTTTCAGAACACTATAAAAATCCTATTTTGACAAAATTTTGTGCACCGCAGGCAAACTTTTGAAAAAAAAAACATGTATAAATGCAGTTTTGGGACTTTTTTGGAAAGTTTTGACCAATTAATTGCGTTTTTTGGCTTATTCTCCCCTTCAAAGAGGGACGAAACGCTGCTGTGCCCCTCGCTTAGAACTACATGCAAAGTTTTGGGTATTTTTCTGTGCTGTGCATCATTTTCTCACCCTTTAGCAACGAGCACAGATTATATAACGCCTCGAACATCTGACCTTTTGATTGAATGACGAAGACGCAACCACTGGCCTATATTTAGCTTTGGTGTTTTAGATTTGGGACCGAGGTCAATAGTGATTCAAGTACTTCGTCAAAAACGTCTATGAACCGTCTGCGTGAGTAATTTAACTTTTTCGATACAAGTTTCGCAATCAGAGGCGGCTCAATTTTCACCATTTTATTTATTTTTTGGTCAATCCAAATTAATTTCCGCGATATCCAAACAATCTCCGTAGACAAATTAGTAGAAAAATATTTATATTCTGCAGTTTTGAAATCTTTTGGTTTTGACCGATAAACTGGGCTTCTTCTCAAAGCCAATTTATACTAGAACTGGAACTCAGATCACTTAAGGAAAAACTGTGGGTCTGATTTGGTCTGAAGATGGGCCTGCTTAAATATGACCAAATTTTTGCAAGCAATTATCCAAAAATGCACTTTTCATTTCTCTTGTAATTATGTAAAGATCTTAAGGCTGCTGATCCCAGTCGTTTGGATCTGGGCTACCAAATGAGGTGGTCATTAACGGTGGTTTTTTTGAGGGGGGGACCTCGCTTTCACTTCCTTGGTCCATCCACTGCTATGTAATCATGAATCATGTTACCGAAAGTAGCAACTTTTTAAAAAGACGTAAAGTCTTTTTGTAAACAACGTTTATAAAAATAACTTAACCGTTTTTGGTCGAACAACCCTAAAAGTTTCTAAAGACGAGTGGAAGGTCAAGCAGCGTACACTAATTTTGAGACAAGGGGGAAGCGCATCGAAAATTCAAAATTTAAATTCAAAACGATCCAAAAAAGGACAGTTTTAGCTGAATTTTGCAAAATATTGGCCTGCAGTCTTTGAGTATTATTTTTCCAATGCCAAATGAAGTTTTATTTAAGCAGAAGTTAGCCTTGTTAGTTTTTTTTTCAGGGCATATTATCGTCCTAAGCCTGGTAACAATATTGTCTTACTGCAACTCTTCAAACCCATCCGAGAACGAAATCGAACCCTGCCAATTTGCAACGAGGAAGTGGATCACGGCACGACGCTAGCAACATGCGGAATGGGCTCAACTTCCGGCAACACCGACCCAAATTACCCGAAAACACTTCAAGAGGCGCACTTTCTCGAAAGTAAACTTGACAAACCATTTTCGATTCGCAACATGGGTTTGAAACAGGTGAAAAAGTGTCGCGAAGATGTAGTTTGTACATATAGGGTCTCACAGGGGTCAAATATTTGTTTCAAAGACTACGGAAACCCTTTATACTTAATTGACCCTTGTACGCAAGGCAGCCTTCCTGTTTGCTTATACGGAGTGGCGACTTACTTTGAAAGCAAGCAGACGTTCAAAGATTGCCAGAACCAATGTAATGATGGAAGCTATTTTGCGAAAGTTACTCATTTTTCACCGTTCATCCGCCGAACGATGCAGCCCGTAAGTCCTAGTATGTATCGTCCGCATTATGACACCTCGGAGTTTCCCTTCCGCCTATATTTCCCCGGGTACCGACAAAGAAACGACGATCCGTGGCTTCCTCCGGTTGAAAACCCGTTCGACCCTTACAATATTTTTCATTTTATCATTGGTAATTTATAATTTTTTTTCAATAAATTTAATGAATTTTCTTTTTTTTGTTGTCAAAAAATCAATTGAGATCAAAGACTGAAACTTCGACAAAATACCGAAACAAAACCTAACAAAGAAATTAGAAATTGTTGGATTTAAAATTTCTTAACCAAAACTGCGAAAAGAATAAATTAGTTTCAATTGTTCTTATTAGTTTTTCTACACTTTTGCAGTTTACAATTTTTTTTTGTTCAGAAATCTAGGAACATACGTTTTTTTTTTAGTTTTTTTTATCATATTTCTCTGGAATTTTTTATTTGGTACTTCGCAGATTTCAATCACAAAAGTTTTCAACAACAACATCAAGTAAGAAAAACAATAATCAGATGGATATAGCCAAATGAATGTTCTAACTTGTTACGTTTCACGTCAGTCACGATTCAGGCTGCAAGGAAAAATTTACAAAATAATTGCCATGTGTCGAGAAATAGCAGTTTGAAAATTCGTTCCGACCATTGAAAATGAGGAGAAAATTTGTAATGACATTAACAATTTTTCAAACATTTTCTCCAGTGTCGTGAAAACCAGTTCGAAAATTTTGTTTTTTCATCTACTTCGAGCGAGAAAGACAGGGGGCAGGCTTACATTAGCTTATTGTTCTGACCATTTGAAAAATGGGGAGGAACTGTGTATTCGGGTGTGTTTTAGTTTTTTTCGTACAAAACTAGGTAACACAAATAATTACCGCAATGGGTCGAGTGATATATCATATTAAAGCCCTTTCAATCGTGACATTAGAAATTCCAAATTTTCTAGTTTTTCATTCAAATTTTTTTTATCACACCACGCAGAACAAACGACAATTTTGAAACAACGATAGCCGGTTGCTGTGCAAGTAGCACTTAATGTTCCCACCATAGTCTTTAAAAAACTACAAAGTTTTTTTTTAATTAGTGTAGTTTTTTTCTGCGTGGTGTAATAAAGGGATCTGACGTACAAGCATAATTTAGGCATATTCGAAAGTCATAGTAAAATAGGCCAATTGGATATTTTTTAGAAAAAGGACTAGAAAAACAGAAAAGTCAATTCAAACTTTTTGGCAGAACGGACCCCAAAAATTAAATTTACTTGCTTAAAACTAAATTTCTAGGCTTTTTTAACGTGGTGTTAATGTGGTTCGAATCGCAAAATTTTTAAATGTGGTTCCAATCATGACTGAAAGGGATTTAAAATGATATATCACTCAACCAAGTCCGGTAAGTATTTGTGGTACCTGACGTTCCGTGGATAACAAAAAAAAAACGAAAACACACCCGAATAAAAATTTTCTCCCAATTTTGCAAATGGTCGGAACAAAAAAACTTTTTTTTTGTACTTTTCTAAGACTATGTTCAGAAGCTGTCAGTCTTTCTATTTGGTTGTGCAGTGCAGCACTTTAAAACGGAGAGATTTGTCAAAGTGACTTGTTTCTTACTGAAGTGGAATCACTTTTCATGCAATTATTGAATCTGGGGAATTACTTTGTTTTAGCGTGTTTTTCCTAGCAGAATCATGGGCCACAAATAATCATTGGAATGGATCGAGTATTATATCAAATTAAAGCTCGTTCAGTCTTCACTCGATTGATAATCAAAAATATTCACAAACTTTTTTGACTGTCGAGAAGAAGCGTTTGGAGTTTTTGACTTCAGGTTTTATTTCGAGCGAAAAAAGGAGCAAGTAGGCTTATAATAAGACCAAAAAGATGGGATTCAAGGAAGTCATATATTCGCTCATTTTTCTACCCACTAATAATGAGCTTAAGATGCACAAATCAGTAAAATCATTGCATGTTCAATCGATAAAAGTTGCTATTGTAGCAATGTTTATCGATAATTCATCAATGGTATCCATTGCTGTTCTTTTTTCATTTTTTCGTCGCTAATTTTCAATGTAAACTCAACCCGGGTGCATTGTTCCAGTTTAACTTTCCAAAAAATATATAAAATCAACATCAAATATAAATTATAATGTTTTTCAGTATGACTGGTGTTTCGCATCGGATTTTTCATGCAAGCAGTAAGCACGAAGTCTCATCAGTGTTTTCTAGGTTTTGCGTATCAGTCTGATTTCGTGGATTTTCGGTATCAATTTCTTTTCCCACGTTTTCTTTTCTACCATCATATTTCGTATTTTGGTCACATTTCTCAATAGGGCCGAAAAGCGTACCTCCTTTTATGCTATAAGCAGCCAACAGCAATGCCACAACCAACCACACGCTTCCGACCGTCAGGTCAAAAAAACAGTCGCTCAGTGGCTTATACACAATATGCGCAGCTTGAAAAGCATCCACAACTGTGTAATGTTCCGGGCACTTGAATCCTTGGTAGATAGTGAAAACTCCATTGGTCACGAGAAAAGTACAGACTAATCCGACCGTAATCATTTCAGGCCGTCTGCCAATACTGTAAAGGATGTTCCACGAAGAGAAAAAACTGTGTTTTTTCTGGCAGCTAAACAAATTCGATGGTTCAGCTGGTTCATTTATGCTCTAAACCAAAACAAAAACATTCTGCAAAAATATTTCAATTCAAATTAGCCGCACTGTAAATGCTTCAAAACAAAACTATTTGTTTTTAGATTAAATCTAATTTTCAGTCATGTTGAACAAATATTAAAAAGAGATATCGCCAAGAGTGCTAACTCGATGCAGCATTAAATTCAAGCCGAAAAAATGATTTCTAATTTTAACTAGGTTAATTACTTATAAGATTGCAATTTTTGTGGCATGATCACTACCTAATTCCACTTCACAAAATCTCCAAAAATCGAAAGAAGACTGCTTTTATTAGGCCGACTGCCGTTCAAAGTCAATGAAATTTTCTGTTGTCAAAAATTGAGAAAAAAATCGAAAAAAAAACTAAATTTAAACAATTAAACACCGATTAATTTACTAAAAAAACTCAATGGTAGATTATCTTTTAAATTTGAGCTCTATACAACAATACTTTTCAAAATAAATTTAAAAAAAGAACGGATTGAATAGCCGCTTGCTCATTAATATCACAAAATACCTCAAGCGCTGATTGTCTCAAATAAGCCTAACTTTCAAACCACTATAACTTTTCAAAAAAAATCACAGAACAAATTTTCTTGTATAGTTGAGCCCAGATTATCATAGGCTTTCACGTAATAAAAATAGCTCAAAAATGGCCAGTTAAAAAGTCGAAATTGGTCCAGAGAAAAAAAATCAAACTAGGGTTAAATACTCATGAGAATTGAACACTGTTTCAAAACATACTCACATCGGGTTCAGTTCTTTCCCCACTGACTGCTGATGCGTGCGTGAGGTTATACTTGATCCACTGTACATTAGTCTTCAACGGTTCGCGTGCAATGAAACACACTGACTCGTCTTCAACATTGTAGCTCATGTCTGAAGGCTCGCACTGTATTGCACTGGTGCTGTAACCTATACATAAACAAAATTGCTCATATCAGGGAGAAACGCAGAGTGTTCCGACTGCGTTTTATGGTCTACGGAGTATTGCTTGTTTTTACAAAATTTAGAGACTTGGTGATTCTACTGTATTACATGCTATGGTAACCTGAGCCTAAGGATTGGTAATTCATGATGAAAATGGTTGAAAATTTCGAAATTTGATTTTAACGTAAACCGACTGTATGAACTTATAGCAATGAAATTCAGTGATAGATAAGCTTAGTTTGAGAGCAAACAATCGTAACCGGACTTTGAAACTTGAATTTGACCTCTAGGGCGAAGAATTGGAAAAGCGCGCAAATTCTGGAACCCCCCCCCCCCCCCCCCGGATTGGGAACCACTGGTCCGATCTTTATGAAAATTGGTGGGTGACAAATGGAGAAGATTTTAGGCGGGCATGCAAGTTTCCAGACCCCTAGGACCCCTGGGCGAGGGATAATGATTTCCGAAAAGGCAATTAGCACTTTTTGTAAACCGGTAACTAATGGTCAAAATGACTTCATATTGCAATATGTTGTAGCCCTAGGCGAGGGAAGTTCACCACCGGAAATTTGAACGCATCCGGTTATTAGTTCCGGTTTTACGCCCTATGTAAACAAAACCCACTTTTTGTTATTTCTCGGCCCCTGATAATGCTAGGAGGTTGAAACTTGGGGGGATTTTAGGTTGGGAGAAGACCTATAATGTGTTTATGTTTAGACCCAATGCGACGGCTACGTCGGAAGCTATTAGCACTTGAAAATGAATTAGGCTATTAACACCTGATAACGATAATTGACTTGTGATTTCAATGCACCAAAGTGAAGGGGGGCCCAACCCAGTAGGGGGACCCCTTTGATCCAATCCTCTCCGGAACTTCCTATGGGGTGGAAGTGGCAGTTTTAGGGAAAAATGTTAATTGACCCAAATTTTCCGAAAATATGGGAAGGGATGGTCCGACATGAATGAAACTTTGTGGGAATGATCTCCCATCGAAAAAAAGACGTTTGGACGCGTTTGACCTCATTTGACCTTGGATGAACTCTAAGAGGTCATTTGGCATTTTTGAACCCAAGACCCCCGGAACCCTTGAAAAGCAATATTTTAGCATTGTAAGGACCCGTAAGGGGTACCTACCCACCTGGAGAGGTAAGGGGAGGCCCCTAAATCGAGAATTTTTAGTTTTGAATTTTGTACCCGAGCGAAAGTGATTTTCTGTAATTAGCAAACATTGGGGTCAGCTTAACCCACTCCACTTGGACTTTCGATAAGAACGACAAACAAGTAAAAATACAGCCCCGGGACAAAAATTGGGAACATCTATGGGGGGAAAATGGGAAATTCGGGATGAAGATTTTATAACAGCCCTAGCATTTTAAATGAATTGTTGCGGTGTTTTTTTCGGATCAAAACGGACACGGGTAAGGGAATTACCCAGCCCTTGGACTTAGAGGAATAAAACTAAAAATGACCAAAAATAGAAACTTTTCAAGTATCACGGAAGTTAAATTCCCGGTTGTGTCAGACCTACCCAACTCATAGGAAAGGGAAAAAGTTAGGAAGAACTAAAATAAAATCACGCAAGGGGTCATTTGTCAAAGACGATTGGAAGCTGATTTTGTAGTTGAACCCAATGTTTGCTCAGTATGTCCTGATTAACTAAGTGTAACCCCGATGTTTAATTAAAGCTGACCTAATGGTTGATTCAGCTGATAAGTCCTGAGTGGCAGCTAGTTAAGTGAAAGTTAGTAGGGATAGGGACAATATAGAAGGGATATATTGGGTCTAAATAGTCAAAATTCCCCAAGACGACATTGGCGCTCCTGGATGGGCACTCTTTGGACTACAGTTGCGTGAGACGATACGTTTGATCAACGATCGACGAAACAATTGCGATGGCGATGAACGATCAAGACAGACAGCTGATTGCAGAGGCTGCAGTGGCAGCGGCCAATGCTCTCGATTGACAACAGGGAGTGTTCGGATTTGGTACGATACGACCAGCTCGGTTCCCCTCGAGCAGTTATCAGAACTGGCGAGACTGGAGGAAACACTTTGCCTGGATAGCAGACGCCAATCGATGGGACAATGAACAGGCCAGGATGGTGCTGCCGACTTGTCTGACAGGCTGGGCATTGGATGAGTTCACGAGTATGCCAGCTCACTTTAGAGAGGAAGTTGTCGGGTTCGAGGAACCGACGCTAGGCAGAATGCTCGCGGAACTCGATCAGAGGATGATGCCTTTTCAGACACAATCAGCTGCGAGGGCTGATTTCAAGAACCTCATGCAGGAGGAAGGCGAGGGCTTGAGAGAATTTGCAAGACGAATGCCATCCTTGGGTGAAGTTGCAAATACAAACCTGGGAGCTCAAGCCCGAGACGACATGAACCGCAAACAATTCACTGATGGATTGTGTGATTTCGAGCTTCAGGAATTGTTTCTGCGAGAAGACTTCGAAAATTTCAACCAGGCGGTAGCCCGAGCACAGGCTCTAGATATGGCACGCAAAACAGTCAGGATGAAGTGTCGGAGACGGCCAAATCACGTTCGGTCGGTGCACGATGTTCAAGACCTGACGACTGAGGCTGGCGGAGACAGTACGCTGACTGCCGAGACTCAACAGATACGGACGGAGCTGACTAGATTGCAGACGCACACTGACCAGAGGCTGGACTAAATGATGAAGGCTCAGAATAACCTGGCGAAGCAGATTGATATCCAGAGTTCGAGGTATGATGATGTGAGATTGCAGATGCTGATGCAGGAATCACGCCAGAACGATCTGGTGGCTCAAATGATGGCCCAGATGCAGAGCTTAACGACAATGTTAGGTAGGTTCGTTGATCCTTGTAACCCCAAGCCAGAGAGTCACACCCGACGGGGAGAGAATCAGCAACGCGACTGTGAGAACCCAATTGGGCGACACAGTGGAAACAACCCATGGACCCAAGGTGGTTGTTTTAATTGCGGACACGTGGGCCACATTGCAAACGGATGTCCCCAAAGAAGCGCGAACCATTTAAACTACCAAGGGCCGGGACAGTAGGCGAGTTCGAAGGAGGATTTGTCCCGGCCGAATTTAAGAAACAGCAGGCAGAAAGGCGAGCGCAAGCTACAGGAACTCAATCTTGCCAGCGTTACGATACAAAAGCAAATAATGATGGAGAAGGGCAGAGCGAGAAGATATTGGAGCAGGAACAAGTTCTATCGATATTGAAGCGACTACCAAGGATCAAAGAGAGCGACCCAAAGTTGGAAACGAAACAGAATTCGCGGACGCGCATTGAGCGTGTTGGATCAGTCATGATGTCAGCGATCCACGCGGAGCAGTCGTTAATGCTTGCGTAGGCGGAACCCATGTTGAGGTGCTGCTTCATACCGGAGCCACCACCGATCTCATAAGGACAGATGTTGCGCGGAGAATGGTTGACGCACCGACAATGGAACGCTATGTAGGTCGACTGGAGACAGCAGACGAAAAAATAATGGCTGTCGACGGAGTTGTCAGAACTCGCTTCAAGTTTGGTGACATTGCCGAAGAAATCGAAGCGCTTGTGGTCCCGAAACTGAAAGCTGAGATGGTCCTAGGACTAACATCGATGAAAGAGTATCAGTGCTCTTTGGTTTTCAGTCATGGAGAAGATTTCTTGTGGACAGGGGCGAGTGAAGGTTCAATGGTACCCATACGGCACTTGACTCATAGGCCTTCTCCGGAACGGATGCCCTCTCTGCCATATGAACCGGGCGGACAGATTAAAGGAAATCATTTTCCAAGATCAGACATGCGGAAGAGCTTGATTGCGAAGATAACAGCGGCAGTGGAGTCTCCCGACAAAATCTTGGAAGGGTGGCCGACGACTTATGACGATCACAGCATAAATGTGGTTCAAGAAACAAAAGTGGAGGAATACGAAAGGTACGGATGCCCAAAGCCTGTTTCATTAGATGAAGCTTTGAGACGACCTCGCGGAGGAGGCCGAACAGAGAGAGTTGCAGTGGTTCCAGAGACAGAGATGGACGAAGTAGTCGACAACGACGCGAATCGATGGGACGAACTTCAAAGTCTGCTTACGAGTAGCAGATCGTTCAGGTCATCCAAGCGATTCCGATCAAAGGATGACCGAGAGTGGCTTGGCGGTAGAAGGGAAGTGGGGCCTAGAGATGTAAAGTCCGCCTACTTCCACAATTTGATCGATCGATAGAAAAAGCTGTCTTTGTTCGGTGAAGATGAAGTTGACCAGGGCTCGGCCGCATTGTAGGGCGAGGTCCCGAAGCAGTGTTGGCGTCCTCCAGATGCTATGGGGGAGTCGGATAACTGGACTGTGCCGCAGCAGGACTACCGGCACCTCGTAGACAGACGGCACCTCGTAAACAAGAGATCGGTGAAATAGTACGGGGTTCAGTTCATTTCAGTGAGTAAAACTAAAAAATTCTTTCTCCCTATCTCACATTCTAATCTCATTTGCGATATTTATAAGTGCTTTAGAAACATCTCCACCAGTACGACTGATAGAAACTCAGTGAAAATCTTGGTAGTATAATTCATTGTTTCGATAGAATGGTGGAGGTATTTCACAACGCGTTTCAAATCTTTCTTAGACTCTTAGTTGCTTCACTCAAGGAAGCAACCCTTGGTGCTAACATAGGTAAATTGATTACGTAATAGTCTATGGAAACTGAAGCCCGCGGTTCACTGCGTCGTAACACGTAAACGATGGTGCATTTAAGTTGTGTCGAAAACTGGAGAGTAGTTCAAGGCGGTGTAGTATAGCAGCAAAAAACGAGTCGAGTTTAGAAAAAAATGGTGTTAAAAGAGGGATTAGATATTACACAAAGAGTCGAGTTGAGTTGTTAGATTGGTTATTTGTCTTAATAGCAAAACGGTGACTTAATCATTGTTAGTAGCATTATTCGGGAGAATAATAGACTAGAAGGGAAGACTGTAGTATTGGTGATTCTACTGTATTACATGCTATGGTAACCTGAGCCTAGGATTGGTAATTCATGATGAAAATGGTTGAAAATTTCGAAATTTGATTTTAACGTAAACCGACTGTATGAACTTGTAGCAATGAAATTCAGTGATAGATAAGCTTAGTTTGAGAGCAAACAATCGTAACCGGACTTTGAAGCTTGAATTTGACCTCTAGGGCGAAGAATTGGAAAAGCGCGCAAATTCTGGAAATCCCCCCCCCCCCCCCCCGGATTAGGAACCACTAGTCCGATCTTTATGAAAATTAGTGGTGACTAATGGAGATGATTTAAGGCGGGCATGCAAATTTCCAGACCCCTGGGACCCTAGGGGGCGAGGGATAAGGATTTCCGAAAATGCACTTAGCACTTTTTGTAAACCGGTAACTAATGGTCAGACTGACTTCATATTGCAATATGTTGTAGCAATAGGCGAGGGAAGTTCACCACCGGAAGTTTGAACGCATCCGGTTATTACTTTCGGTCTTACGCCCTATGTAAACAAAACCCACTTTTTGTTATTTCTCGACCCCTGATAATGCTAAGAGGTTGAAATTTGGGGGATGGTAGGTTGGGAGAAGACCTATAATGTGTTTATGTTTAGACCCAATGCGACGGCTACGTCGGAAGCTATTAGCACTTGAAAATGAATTAGGCTATTAACACCTGATAACGATAATTGACTTGTGATTTCAATGCACCAAAGTGAAGGGGGGCCCAACCCAGTAGGGGGACCCCTTTGATCCAATGCTCTCCTGAACTTCCTATGGGGTGAAAATGGCAGTTTTAGGGGAAAATGTTAATTGACCCAAATTTTCCGAAAATATGGGAAGGGATGGTCCGATATGAATGAAACTTTGTGGGAATAATCTCCCATCGAAAATAAGACGTTTGGACGCGTTTGACTTCATTTGACCTCGGATGAACTCTAAGAGGTCATTTGGCATTTTTGAACCCAAGACCCCCGGAACCCTTGAAAAGCAATATTTTAGCATTGTAAGGACCCGTAAGGGGTATATACTCACCTGGGGAGGTAAGGGGAGGCCCCTAAATCGAGAATGATTAGTTTTGAATTTTGTACCCGAGCGAAAGTGATTTTCTGTAATTAGCAAACATTGGGGTCAGCTTAACCCACTCCACTTGGACTTTCGATAAGAACGACAAACAAGTAAAAATACAGCCCCAGGACAAAAATTGGGAACATCTATGGGGGGAAATGGGAAATTCGGGATGAAGATTTTATAAACAGCCCTAGCACATTAAATGAATTCTTGCTGTGTTTTTTCGGATCAAAACCGACACGGGGAAGGGAATTACCCAGCCCTTGGACTTAGAGGATTAAAACTAAAAATGACCAAAAATGGAAACTTTTCAAGTATCACGGAAGTTAAACTCCCGGTTGTGTGAGATATACCCAATTCATAGGAAAGGGGAGAAGTTAGGAAGAACTAAAATAAAATCACGCAAGGGGTCATTTGTCAAATACGATTGGGAGCTGATTTTGTAGTTGAACTCAATGTTTCCTCAGTATGTCCTGATTAACTAAGTGCAACCCCGATGTTTAATTAAAGCTGACCTAATGGTTGATTCAGCTGATAAGTACTGATTGGCAGCTAGTTAATTGAATGTTAGTAGGGATAGGGAACGGTACGCCTCTGACCGAACCGAAAGTAATTAAAGATAACGATACGCGATTAGGGTACAACCACCGAACTAAACAGAACAGTGATAACTACGATTGAGAGTAGTTGGTTCTCGGTCAGAGTTAGAGAACAGTGATAACTACGATTGAGAGTAGTGGGTTCTCAGAGAGTTAGAGAACAAGATTGAGACTTATAGAATTCAGACAGGTCCTGAGAGTGACTCGTGAAATTTTTAAAGTGAGTTCTCGACGCGAGATTTTAGTGAAGCTTTGTGAAGCAAGTTGAAGAGTTGTTTAGAATTGTTTGTAAAGTGAACTGCAAGAAGCAGTTAACTGGAACTTATCGCAGAATAAATTCATTGATACTTAATAAATTGTATTCAGGCCACTTAGCGGCCCTTATACTCAGCAATTCTAATATTTATTTCTGAATTCAATTACTATCCAGTTTCTTGCGATTCTTTCCGAGGAAGAGAACAGTCGAGAGCAATTGAGTAAAGGGGACGCAACCCATGTAGTACATCGATCGACCACCAAATTCAACCTTTCAAACGAAGGAATTGTCGCCAAATACCGGATCATAGCTCACCACTTTGCTGGTTCTGGTATTTAGGGAAGGGACTTAGCGGACATTATAGAAGGGATATATTGGGCCTAAATAGTCGAAGTTTCCCGAGACGACATTGAGTGGGGACCAAAAATAAAAAAACGCCGTTTTATCAGTTTAAAAAAATCACCATTTATAGATCGTGCGTTAATTGTCTCAAACTGGTCGTATTGGAAATCTTAAAACCCACATAGTTTCAGAAAAATGATCCCAGGTGAAAAAGTTTTTGTTCCGACTTTCGATACGAAAGTAACGGAATATTTCGGCTCGGGTGGGTTTTTTTTCTTCAGACAAATTTCGACTTTTTAACTAGCCATTTTTGACAAAATTTTTAAAAATCATTCAAAAGGTATTGTTGTCCTGAGCTAAAATTTGAAAAGATATTTTACTTGTGATCATTTTTCGTAAAATAATGAGGGTTTAAAGACTGCCATTTTGACCAATTTGGGACAATTAACGCGTGATATAATTCGCGCTATTAACGCGTGAGCGGAGATTTAATCCGTCTTATAAATCGTTCCAAATTGATTGAACGAAGCTTGTTTGCCATAATTCATTTGTTACAAGGAGCGAAATCTATCCTTTCGTACTTAATATGGCGTGTGGGGGGATAATTTTCATAAAAATTCAATTTTTATTTTATTTTTTTTTCATTTAATTTTTTAATGTTTTTACTGCTGCTCCATAAACCTTAAAAGGCAGTTGGAACATTCAGGGCTTCGCCCTGATACGAGCAGTCTTGTCTAATTTTGAGCTCAAGAAAACAATGCTTTTTGAATTATATCTGACAAAAATATTTGACAAAAATCCGTCAAAAACGGCTAGTTAAAAAGTCAAAGTAAGGAGAAAAAACTATCCCGAGCACAATTATTTTGTCAATTTCTTCGGAAGTAGTCGAAAAAAAAACGCGCAGAATTTTAAAATGGTAGAAAAAATATTTTTGAGCGCAATTTAACCCCTTTCAGTTTATGCAATGAAAATCTATTTGATGTTTTTTAGGTTTATACTTCCGGTCAGGAGCGGATTTAGAGCTTTCTCGAGGGCGCAGATTTTCGAAAAAAAAACAATTGAAAGTATTTGTTAGTTTTGGGCACTTTTCGGAAGGTTTTGACTAAGCAAATGCGTTGTTTCGACGCGGGGTTACCCAAAATTTTAGTATATCTTGGCGCAAAATGCAGTTTTTGATAAAATTTAGGTTTGAAAATAGATATCCAGTTGCGTGCCGAAGGGAGGCTCCAAATATTAACATTGTAATCCGTTTTTGCTGGCTTAAAGTAGGTTATTTTGTAATTTCATAAAGAATGCCAATAATAAAATAACCACATGATCGATTGCTATCCATGAAACTCCAGTGCTCATCATTTGCTGGAAAAATCTGAAGAAAAACATGTAAGCCATTCGAAAAAAAAAATCAAAAAGAGCTATGAATAAATGAACAATTGGCTTACCGGTGAGACTAAGTAATACCAGATAACAATTTTCTGCAAAAAAGTTTCTCATTAGTTTTTACCAATGTGGTTTTGAATCTTAGTTTGAACTTATATTGTTTCATTACATTTATGCAGTTTCTTGTTTTTGATACTCCGATTTAAGCGTACTGAGGTTACTGCAAAAAAAAACCGAGAAAACAGGCATACTGGAACCTGATCTAAACTATATATTATGATTGGATAAATTAAATGTTTTACCAATGTAAAGTATTTAATATTAACCAATCATGATCCATCTAACTAACAACCCACTTATTTGTAAGTGCTGAAGTTACTTGTAATTTCAGCACCAGAGAGATTTGAATTTAACTTAGAAATTAGTTGGACTCTCCCGAGTACTTCAGCAGCCGCAATAAACCAGTATACCCTAGATCTATTGAGCCTAGCAGAGACTAGTTAAACAACCTGAGACTAGATAGTATAAGAGTAAGATTAGGATCGGTATTAGACTAAGAAGTTGCACGAATCTATCCGGCCGAAAATAAGATAGCGTGACGAGCAGACGGTGTACCCTATCCGAAATTACTCTATGAGTTATACACTCCAGTCATAACTCATCTGGTGCGACCATAAGTCTCGAACAAGACCTTAATAGCTTAGAATTAACCAAAATAGATTAGAAATTAGACAAAAACATTTACAAAATGTTATACGACAATAATTTAATCGAAATGTCTCTACGACTCAATAGATCAGAGCCAATATTCCGAACCATAACAGAACTACCCGGAATTGGAAGAAGACCTCGAACCAGAGACGACTTACGACAAAGTAGAAACTTGCCATATAGTTATATGATAGTTCGGCAAAAGCCAGAACAATTTTTTATATTTAGAATACTACCCGCAAGGAATTTAGATTTCCATTTGCAAACATAAAACCTTGAAGTTAATCTTCAAAATCATAACAAGCGCTAAACAAAATTAATAATATACAATAACGATTGATAAAAAGATCTCAGATCGTTTTCCTAAATTCTGCAGTATTATACAAAACATGTTTGAAAAATATTTATTGGAAAAAAAAAAAATTAGTAGCATGACAATAAATGGTTAGTAATCATAAATCATCCTGTTGTTCCAGCTTCATCACCTAAAACATAACAGCAATCATAAACCCACTAATATCATAAAACACTAAATCTTTCCTTTACACAAATTTAAAATTTTATTAAAACTTAAATTCACTTAATTTTAAAATCAGATCATCAAGGCTTATCCTTGGATCTTAAATCATTTTCTACTTAAATAAATTTCAAACTTGATCATCAAGGCTTATCCTTGGATCAAACAGAACAACTTTGTTCTCCCCCACCCACTTAATTAGTGTCTAACGACCTCAAACGTCGATCCACTATCCAACCCTTTCTAAACACCCAAGACTAATAGAAATTTTTGAACAAAACTAATCATTCAAATTAGGATAAACAGTGAAGAACTTCGGTTATTCATCCTTCACTTGACCCCCCCTCTTACCAGACCCAGGATAAATCTTAGACTTAGTAAGTTTAAAATAGTATCTAACGAACTACTCGCGTTCTAATTATACCTGAACCTTGTGGATCGATTTACTATTCTCCAACCCTTGAACACAATCACTACCCCTAAGTAAGATTAAGTAAGTTAACACCTTAGCTTATATTAGTCACGAGAAAGTAAAAATCATTCTCCGGAATAGATATACTTTTCTCTTCAACCCTGAACAAATAGACCCAGGTTAAGCTAACCAAAAAATCGTAAGGACTAACAGTTTAAGCAATTAGAATTCACTTAACACCTTTTTGCATCCGTCATCCTAAACCTTATGTCATTTAAAAACCTAGGAAATAAACAAACAATCGTTTTACACAATTGTGAAATAGATAACAAAAAATACGACCTTGTAATCACACCTCATACACAAACAGTAGGATACATTCGAACAAAACGACAAACACTAAAAAGAAAAATAATAACGAAACAAAGACAAATAACACGAAAAAGATTTTCAAAAAATCGAAACGCATTTTCAGAATCAGAAACCAACAGTCTAGACGAACTTTACAAACTAAAAGAATCAATAGATAAAAATTGCCCAATTCACGATCAATTATATTTCTCTGACTCGGAAACAACTTCAAATTCATCACAAAGAGGAAAAAGAAGAATAAAAAAGCAGTATAAACACAAACCAGTACATTTATACAATTGGAATTAACCAATTCGACACATTAATAATTACATATTAACAGTCATCGAACGAAAAAATGAGCTCAACGCACACCCCAGGTGACAAAACTCCAGATGATGATGAAATCTTTCCTTTTATAGTAGATGCAACTACTGATAGAGGACAACACATATTTTGTAAAAATTTACTTTTAAATTTATTTGAACCCGGAATCAGTCCATGTAAAACAGAGTTCCCAGATGTAAAAATCAAAAGACAAATCATAGACCACTACCTAAAAGATATATGCAACATAACACAACAGTATGAAATCTACTCCATAGAATTCACCTCACCAAACCATAATCATAGGAAATATACAATTCAAACAGACGATCTTGATTTAGAATTTTCAAAAGTTTTTTCAGAATATATAAAAAGCATCCAATACCATAACTCACAAAGAGCAAACTCCATTTTCACTAATGAAGTTTTCGCAATAATATATAGTTATATTTCGATATTAGAAAACGAAATCCCAATAACAAATGTCTCACCGACAGAAACATCTAAACATTTAAGAGTACGACATGAAATAACACTACTCTCTAGTTATTTAAACATTATTAAAGAAATTTTCACGAAAGACGACGTTTCACAACATACAAAACACGATCTACAAAAAATTTTGGCATGGTTCATAATAGATTATTTCACACACAATATTGATTTAATTGCACAAGCAAGAAAAAATTTTAGACCCCAAAATTCGAACGATGATACCGCTATTACAGAACAATCAGATTATGTTTGGGACCCCGAATGGTCTCATCCCGCATTTATAAGCTTCCCACAATCAATATCAATTCAAGCAATAAGTACAATATCTTACATAAGAGATTATGTAAAAGTAATACCATTCACCATTGATGCAACACCATTAAACTATAATACATTTTTGCCCGATACACAAAATAATAGTTTAAACTCTACAGTCATACACAACGAAAACCTCAATGGAACTAGGAATCTTACTCAACAAGATATCCAGACACCATCACACTTCATAAATGAAGAAATTGTACACACAACAACTACACAACAAAGTATTTCACCAATACGCCCAAATTTAACAACACCAAGAAATACAAATCCTTCACAAACACAAGTAACCTTACAATCAACCGTTAAACCTTCGGTTGCTCCAAAATATTCACATATGGATTACCAAACATACAGACCCATGACAATACCATCAAAAACACGCAAAACATTCACTAGAAATAACTTTGCAGACCATAATTATAATTATACACATCCATCAAAAACAAATTACCAACCACGAAGAAATTTTAACCAATATACAAGATCTCGAAACTGGGATAACCCAATGGCCCAACCTAATTCAATAAATTTCCAAACAAATCCTCCACAGGATCACAGTGAAAATTACCCATTTTTTCAACAAAATAAAAATAAAAAACAAACATCTTATCAAATGGATTATTTATCCTCAGATGATGATTTCTTACAACCAGACATATTTGCACCATATACTCAAGAATATCGTGGACAAGGAATACAGAAAACACGTACAAATCATAGGAATTTTTCTCCACAACCGATAGATGCACAACATCAACAACCAATTCAACAACAAAATCTAATTAATACACAATCTTTTCAACCAATTCAACAACAAAATCCAATGATGACAAACTCGTATCAACCATCACAAACGCAAAATGAAATACCACTCCCATATTATCTCCAACAACATGAAATAACAAGAAACCAACTTTCAAATTTTTCTCAAATGCCAAATGCAGCAGAATCATTACAAATGACAATGAATCCATACCTTATGGGTGGATCATCAATAACATCAAACAAACCTTTAATGGTTTTCACAGGAACAGACCCTGAATACTCTGTAGAAGATTATTTAAATGCAGTAACAGCAAACCTAATTTTAAACATTGGACCTGAACCAATTAATACGCCACTACATCAAAACTGGATACATCGACGCACAGCGTTGATACAAACAACCTTAGATGGCGCAGCCCAAAAATGGTTTTCAGTACTACCTCTAGAAATAAAATCAAACTGGAAAAGGTTTACACAGGAATTTTCAAAAATGTTTGACTCCGAAAGAAACAAACAACAACAAAGAGTTTTATGCAATGAAGTTCGCAGATTACCAAACGAAACCATCAAGCAATTAGCAGTAAGAATCGAAACACTAGTTCGAAAAGCATATTCACTAAATACACACGACTATAAAAACACAAAGATGACAGAAATCTTAATGATGACCTTAACACCACAATTAAGGAAAATAGCAATAAAAAAGAGAGCATCCCATCCTTCTTCAATTCGAGAACCCGATTTAGATTTTCGAAAACTAGTAGACAAATTAGAACAAGCAGAAATCACAATGAAACTAGAAGAAACGGAAAATCTGAAATTACAATACGTTAACAGAATTGAAACAACTTCCACAAACATAAACAATATACAGGAATCAGATACAGACCTCGTTGAAAAAATCACTGAAATACTCAATATTTATGAAAAGAACCCGAACTTTAAAGGCAAACCATCTTTCAAAAAATGGTGTAATTATTGCCGACGATGCGGACATAGTATTTCCGAATGTAGACAAAAACAGCAAGATAGTCAAAATAAACCTCAAAAATACAAAGAACCAAATAAGTCATTTTATCAATATATGAAAAAAGATCAAAATCTACCAAACAAAAATGTATATAGCAACAATAGTTCCGGAAAACCACTTCCGAACAATACAAGCTATACAAGAAATCAATCCCCATATAACTCAAGTTATAGAGGAAGATCGCCAGAACGAAGAAACACACAAAATTCATCACAAAATCACTACAATAGACCAAATAGTAGAAATAACTACTCCAGATCTAATTCAAACACAACACAGTT